TGTTTGGTGTGTTGTACTGGATACTTCACTAAGGAATAAAAATGTGCAAATGTTTACATTTGTTTTTTCTTTTTTTGTGTTCATCATGTGAAAAGGTTTTTGAGGGGGAGAATCACGAGTAACATTACTTATAATCAGTTTCTCTAGTATTGTTTTGAGTTTCTTTTAATTATTGTGTAAGACTTTGTTGTAGTGTGTGTGTGTCATGTCTGAGGGCAAAGTTTGGCTTTTCAGCAAGATTGAATGGTTTTGAGAGTAGAGCTCCATTTTAACCTGAAAATAGGATGTTTGGGTGAGAAGTTCTGGATTTGTGTTTAGAGTTTCGAGAACAAAGATGCATAATTTCAGGAATTGTGTTTAAGCAATCGAAAATAATTGTAAAAGGTCAGGCACAGTTAAAATTTGGGTAACACTTTATATGAAGGTCATCGCTATAATGACTTATGCATATATTTATAACACGATATAATGCGTCCATAAGACATTATAACAATTGTTATAATCACTTACTAACATGCATTAGGTGCTATAGCAAAGTTCATAATGTATTATGACCTTTTGATTTAATGTTTTATAACTAATAGTAATACCAGTTTATATCAATGTGCGGCAAGAATCTCCGACCATGTTCCATAACACATTATAACCACCGACTCTGCCTTGTTATAAATACACTTTAGTCACCATTTACAATTAGTGATATAAAATGGAATAATAGCTTATAGTAATGTTTAAAGTTATATAGCATGTCTTTGTTTGCTTTAAGTGTTAAAATATCTATCTCTGTATAATATATTACAGGTGGACATAATACCATATGAACTAATTATAAGAATTATAAGAAGAGGCAGAGTCGGTGGTTATAATGTGTTATGGAACATGGTCGGAGATTCTTGCCGCACATTGATATAAACTGGTATTACTATATACCCATTATAAAACATTAAATCAAAAGTTCATAATACATTATGAACTTTGCTATAGCGCCTAATGCATGTTTGTAAGTGATTATAACAATTGTTATAATGTCTTATGGACGCATTATATCGTGTTATTAATATATGCATAAGTCATTAAAGCAATGACCTTCATATAAAGTGTTACCAAAATTTGTTTTAAATTGTTTCTTAACATTAAAAGACTAAGACAATCAAATAGAAGAATGGCTGATGGTTCCATCATTTTTGACCAGATTGAGCACTGTTACAATTTGATCTTTTTTTCCAATCAAGGACACATGCTTTTGCATAAAGCTATATGTGACAGCAGTACGAGTGAACACATACACACACACACACACATGCACAGTAAATCCAGATGCCAGTGATGGCAACATTAGACCAAACACCACCTGCCAAGTTTAAGGTTGCCTTCTGTCTAACACACCTGGTTGCCATTTAACACCCTGCTCCCTTACTGCCATCACTCTCTGTGTCCTCTCTGACCTTTTCCTTCTCACTTTCACATGTAACCCCATCTCTCTTTCCTTCTCATAGTCTTTCTGGCTACCACTCTCCAATTCCACCTGTTTATCTCTTACCCTCGTCCTTGTCCCTTTTTCTCTTTCATTTTTCCATCTGTCTCATTTTCACTCTCCTTTGTCCTCTCCTTCACCCCCTTTTTCCTCCTCAGCGTTATATCCTGCATCTTTGTTTAACTATTTATTATTGCGTTTTTACCTCTCTACACAGTATGAAGGAGAGTGAATTGGACGTGTGTAACCACATACACACATATACATGACTGTATACAAAAAACATTTTTGCTCACTCACACAGTTAAACACACTAAATTACAAACTTACAAACACATGCATATAAACACATCTGCATGCTCACATATACAGTGTACACACTTGCAGGCCTAGAGCCAGCTGTATGTGAGCACGCTGGTCCTCTAATCTGTGGCTTGGTTGGGGCTTCTTCCAAAGGCCCTGGACCTAAAAAGGCCTTGCCTGCCTGGGCTGGAACAGTAACACCCTACACTTAGCCACATGGCGCTAGCTAGCCCACACCCTGCTAAACACAGCCAGATGTGCAGGGACTGGCAGCATGGTACAATGTCACTGTACTCTCCTGTAGCCATATGAAAAAAAACTATCTGGATATGGTTAGTATTCAGCTAATCCTCACCTATTTAACACTATAAATAACCAAGATCCAACCACCAATACACTCCTGAAATGATAAAGGCATAAGATGTTTCCCAAAGCCTCCCAAAGTAATTCATCTTACTTTGCACTTTCAACAGCTAAGGATAACAACAGGATGTCTTTAGTAAGAATGGCTGGATCCTGCCAAATCGCACTGATCATGTGGCAGCAAATGTAACGTATTATGGTCCATTTAACCCCAGTCTATCATTCACCTCTCGTCTTCAGAGGAAGCAGTCAACAACAGATGGTTTTTAGACCTCAAGGTCCCAATACATATACACTTCTCTCCTCCCTCTGTCAGCTTCGCCATCCACATCTGATGCTCACTGGGGTGACATAAGGCAACATGAGAAAAAACATGAAGTTGAATAGTTGGAGAGGAGAGGAGAGGAGATGAGAGGAGAGGAGAGGAGAGAAGAGGAGAAGAGAGGAGAGGAGAGGAGAGGATGTACAGGTGTAGACAGATTTGAGGTCAACAAAAAATAACAGCCTGATTCATTTTCAGTTTCAAAGCAAAACAGCAGCTACATTTCTAAGTGCAACACATCTGGCAAGAATACAGGAACAAAAACAAGCTCCAAATGACTTCATTCTGAAGCAACATAAGTTACCAAGTTCATGACGTGTGTATTAATCTACAAGTTTTTTGATCCGCATCATTAGAATGTTTAGATGTCGGAGCTGAGTGCTGCTTGAATGTGTGTGTCTGTAGTCCGTGTTGTTTACTAGCATGCTGTGCTAAATGAGGTGTTTTACCGAAAAGTTCAAGAACTGTAGCATGACATAAATTAACTTGGAGAGGATTTGTGTCCTGGAAAGGTTTGTGTACTTGCGTATGTTTGTACTTGACAGGTTGACTGTATCCCTTTGGCACAGGAACAACCTCCTAAGTAAAAAGGAGGGACCATGAGAAAGAAAGACAGAGCGATAGAAGAGGGGTAAAGAAATGTCACTCAGCCACTAATCACTGTGATCTGAAAAGGTCAGACTAACTAGCCAAGCTCAGAGCCCCAGCTGACAGATCCATTGTCACCAACTGGCCAAGGGGAACGAGTGGAGCACAGAGACACCCTTCTATTAACTGGAGCAGGTCATTAGACACAAATAATTGCCTTAGTGCACCAATGTTCTAAGACTGAAAATCTCTCACACTCAGAGCAGTGCAATTAAGTCCTGATTTTATTTCATATTATCAAGAACTTACAAACAATATTTTGCTATGGTGCATAGTCCATTTAGTGATTCAGACTCTTGCGCTAGTGTTATTGCTAGACAAAGAGACGGCATGCGACAAAGATACCTGTCATGAGACCTTGTACATGGTTAGCATCTTAAACCCCTATGTTTCAGGATGACCTTGAATCTAGTTATTTTATTGTTTTTATTTCTATGGATCTGACTTAGCAGACCTGGCAAAAAAATAAAAAAATAAAACATCTTGGCATTCTTACAACATCACTGCAAAGCATTAACAACCTCCTCTGTTGTCAGTCAATGCTCAGCAGAGTACAGACTGTATCATAAAAGGGCTTTAACTAATCTCTTACACGTATCGTTAGTATGTGCATGTGTGTCTGCATTTTTGTGTAGGCTGTGTATGCCCAGATTGAAAATGTGAAATGAAAAACATCACAACTGGTAAGAAAATAACACAAAAGCACCTATAACTGGATCCTTGTGTATCATTTCAAAATAACAAGTATGATGTGCTTATTACTGTTGAAGAACAATACGCACCGAAATGCAAACACATAAAAACATTTATTTACACTGAACAAAATTATAAACGCAACACTTGTGTTTTTGCCTCCATTCATCATGAGCTGAACTAAAAGATCTAAGTCTTTCTCTATGTATACAAAAGGCCTATTTCTCTCAAATATTGTGCACTTCTCCTTTGCCGAGATAATCCATCCACCTCACAGGAGTGGCATATCAAAATTCTGATCAGACAGGATGGGTATTGCACAGGTGTTCCTTAGGCTGGCCACAATAAAGGCCGCTTGAAAATGTGCACAAAGCCACAGATCAGATGTTGCAAGTTTTGAGGGAGTGTGCAATTGGCATGCTGACTGCAGGAATGTTCACCGAGCTGTTGCCCATGAATTGAAAGTTCATTTCTCTACCATAAGCCATCTCCAAAGGCATTTCAGAGAATTTGGCAGTACACCCAACTGGCCTCACAACAACAGACCACGTGTAACCACACCAGCCCAGGACCTCCACATCCAGCATCTCCAAGATCGTCTGAGACCAGCCCCTAAGACAGCTGCTGCAACAATCGGTTTGCATAACCAAAGAACTTCTGCACAGACTCTCAGGAACCATCTCAGGGAAGCTCATCTGCATGCTCGTCGTCCTCATCAGGGTCTTGACCTGACTGCAACTTCGCACAGCCATTGAAGAGGAGTGGACCAACATTCCACATGCCACAATCAACAACCTTATTAACTCTATACAAAGAAGTTGTGTTACACTGCATGAAGCAAATGGTGGTCACACCAGATACTGACTTGTTTCCAGACCCCCCCCCCCCAGGTCCCACCAAGTACAGTGAAAGTGCACATTGTCAAGTGGCCTTTTATTGTGGCCAGCCTAAGGCACACCTGTGCAATACCCATGCTGTCTGATCAGAATCTTGATAAGCCACGCCTGTGAGGTGGATGGATCTCGGCAAAGGAGAAGAGCTCACTAACACAGATTTTGACTTTGTGAACAAGATTTAAGAGAAATAGGCCTTTTGTGTACATAGAGAAAGACTAAACTATTTTATTCAGTGTATGTTTTTTTCTCTTATCTGATTCTCTATATCGGTCATATACTTATTGCGAATTCACAAACTCACCATCGAAAGCCTTGTACTGTCCAGTGAGTGAGGTCTGTAAAGATCGGCCAGAGTCTTTCAGTACTCCCTCCATCTCCCTGCGGCTCAGCATGGCCAGGTTGTCCTCCATGTCACTTGTACAGCAGGTGTAACCCTGGGGACAGATGCGCAGGTGCTCCCCTAGCAGGCGGACAGGTGGAGACAGAGGAGGAGAAAGGATGGGGAGGTAGTGGAGGATTAGAAGAGGAAAAGAGAACAAATAGGGGAGAAGGAGAAGAAGAGGGGATAAAGAGAAGCAGGAAAGAAAAGCGATAACAAACATAGCATTAGCATTAACAGGTTCCATAAATTCTGTCAGAGCTCAACAAAACTTAGTTTAATACTTCCTATGATGCTGCTGTATAAAATACTCAGCAGCGAACATGACAGGATGAATTAGCTGCAGTGACTGTTTTTACAACCTCAGACCCGGCTTGTTGGCCGTCGTGGAGGCACGGCTGCATGTGTTCGCCTGCCTGATTACCTGGCAAGATGTGGAGAACTCTGTGGAAATGGGAGCAGTGGAGCAGGAGTACCGCATCAGCTCCCATACAATTTTAATGAGCACTACTGACTCGCATGGGGGTGTATGCATTTACAAACATGCGCGTACCACAGACACACACACACACACACACACACACACACACACACACACAGATAGAAAACCAGGGAAGTAGAAAGGATCTGTAAGCTCAGGCTTTGTGTGTGAGTAAACACACACACACACACACAACCAAATAAATACCATATATAACTTCAGCAAGGGCTGTCAAAGTTGGTTAAAACTGTAGTCAAGCTGCAGCTGAAATAAAAAAAAATTGTGTAAGACAGAAATAACATCATCCACATCAATGCAACCAAGCCTAAGGCGAACAAAATTCATGTGGGTAATGTTCATTAGCAGGTGAAGAGAGCAGATCATGTATGATGCACTTCGACTTGCAATGAAAAATTTTACTTCTGAAGATTCATCTCCACTATTACTATTTCTGCACACACACACACACACATACTGAAATATATATAAAAATATAAATATAAATCCACAGTGAAACACATAATAATCAAAAGGAAGCACTGTACTACGTGGAATAGAGCACACCAAATCACATTGAGACATTTCTGGTATGAAGAGGAAAGAATTACGGTTTTAGATTATTCTGTCAGACCTTTAAAGGCAAAAAGGAGAATAGAACTCTTATTTCTTGTCAAACATAAAAACATTTATTCAAGCTTCTGATGCACCCACATACTGTAGACAAATGCACTGAGACAAACATCAAAAATGACATAGCTAGTATACAGATAGGATGGAACTCCTTTTGAGCTCAGAGCTAAAAGATGGGACCGCTATGCTGCCTGAGGAAGAGCACAATGTGTGCATTTGTTTACATGGGTAAATAAGTTTTAACACATATTGTCCATCACACTCACATTTCTTAAAATATAGAGGGTTGATGTCCTTTACGCCTGTTTTCTATTATTAAAAAACCCCAATTACCATAGTGTGTGATCTTTGGTGTCAAAAGATACATCCACACCACAAAGAATTGGACAAATGTTGGCAAAAGGATGAACCTATTAACAAAGGTTAAAATAATGTGATAGCAATAACAGTAATTGTTATTGACTAGTCCAGAGTCTGCATTAAAGAAGCCAGCATCTCCAAATTTTATTTGATATTAGTGTGCAACTGGTTGCACTTTGTGTAATGCAGTGTTTTTAGACAGAGTGCAGGTTGTAGCATTTCCATTCTGATTGTATTACTCCCTCTGTGGAAGACGCACCTAACTGAATCTCACTGAGTCTTTCCCACCCAAAGGCCCTGCAGCAACAAGCGGTCTAACTGCCTCTGTGTAATTCCCACTTCATCAGACATTCCTTTCCCTTTCTTCTCTTCCCTGCATGAGGGTCCTCTGAAATCATCTTGCATTACTACACACAGACATGTGTGTCATACAGAATGACACACAGACAAGAATATCCATATCCTTAATCTCTGTGAAGAAATATCTGCATATGAATACAGAATCTGTAGGCAAGGAAGGAGACTTTGCTATTGGAAGTATTCCACCCACTGGCTTTGGTTGCATGTAGGTAAACAGTATGTGTGGAAAGCAAAAGAAGGGAAGCCAAAATGGACGAAATGCAATCTCAGACCCCATCGGCTATTGTCTGACAATGATTTAGCTTTTTATCAATCTCGGAATCCTAGAGATTAGCTTTGTATTATCTTTTTATTATTTTATCTGCCTTCAAATCATTGTCAGACAATAGCTGATTTATCCAGATATCCACTGGATAAGGGAAGCCCTGAAACATTGACTGTTGACCCTAGTGGCTAAATCGTCATCAGACAATAGCCGATGGGTTCTGCGATTGACAGACCTTAAACATAACATTGATTATGATTCTTTGCTGCTGTAAAGCAAAGTTCTGCTTCTCAAGGTCACAGCAATGTTAAATCTTAGGCACAGACTCAAGATTCATGTGATAGTTTCTTGGTCATTGCCATGTATTTTAAGCACATGAACGGCACAAATATATTAATAATACATGAGAAACTTATTTTGCTGCAATATTGTAAACCTTTCAGGTTTTATCTTACACGTCTTTGTCCAATAATAAGTCGAAGCCTCAATCTAATATTCAAAGCTTTGCAGCTTACACATTCAGTACATCTTGAAATGTTTAATTACTGTAATATATCATTAGTTCACTGAGCTTTACATAGCCTACACAAAGGCATACACATGCAGTAAATACACATAAGTATGAGATTAATGATTTAATGTCCCTCATGGTGTCATTAGCATGCATCTAGCAGAGTTTCAGCTGAGGGAAAGTCTATAGGTGCACAGTGCTTCCATCGATAAGATTGATTCTGCCATCCTTTTAATCGTTAAGGCTAGTGATTTCTGTGTGCACTGGCTCAACAATTACATGGAGGCATTTCACCTTTATTTACCGTAGTTGTAGCCTGAGTTAATCACTTTGTTCCCCCCATCCAGTCCACAACCTCAGCTGTTTTATACAGTCAATGTGTGTATGACAAGAACCCATGCACTTTACTGATTATGTGTCAACCAAGTTTCTGTAACTGTGCTTTAAGCACCTCATCAAGGCCAACTGTAAAGTGGAGCAATTAAAGGCAATTTTCCTCTTTGAACATGAAAGTGGAGGACGGGCTGCCCAGATCAGAGGATAAGGTGACATAGAGTCTCTCTCAGCGCCCTCTCCCTGGTCATGGTGTGACTCACATCCACACACCAAGGGAGAGAGTTTGGACTTGGAGAAGGGCACTTGTATGCAAGTCTGTATGATTTGTGTGCATCGAGAGAGGAAAAATGAATTGAATGAGAAAGTGAAGACAAGAGTACAAAGAAATTAAGAAGAAAAAATGAGGGAGGATAGAATGAGTGAGAGCTTGATGGAGGAATAGCATACAGCACTATCAGGGGTCAGCAGCAATCTGTCAGCCCTTGGGATGGCCATTTAAATGCCTGGACTGGTTTTAGTGTGCATGTGTGTTATGGGCCTGTGGCCATTTCTTTCCGTGCAATCTGATTGTTGCCTGCCATTTGAAGGACATCTGTGCAAAGAACAGGAATACACACTTAGAGGAACAATAGTACACACACACACTCTCTCTCACACACACACACACACACACACACACACACACACACACACACACACACACGGACAGTAGGTGTGAGGCTTCCAGATGCAGCCAGCCAGAAACTGGGATTATTTTTTAGTTTTACAGTCACAACATCTGCAGAGTGACCCCCCCCCCCCCCCCCCCCCCACACACACACACACACACACAGGCGTTCTCCAGTTTACTGAGTCAAATTGAAGAGACCTCTTTGTTTGTAACATTAGCTGACTGTTAGGTTAGCCAACTGGAAATGTAATGCTTTGTCACAGGTGACCTTTCCTGCTGTGTGGCAGATGTGTGTCCAGGACTGTGCATGTGTTTGTGTGTGTGTGTGTGTGTGTGTGTGTGTGTGTGTGCGTATACATCTGTTTGTGTCTACTTGGGTGAGAGCGACAGTAGGCCACTCTCAATCCAAGTGTAGAGGAAATGTATCCTTAACAACCAGACATGGCTCTCCTGCTTTTACACTTACACTCTTTCATTCTCTCCCTCTCTCTAGCTCTCTCTCTCACACTCTCACAGGTGCACACAGACACACACACTTTCAGTCTTGTAGCCAGAGGATACTAGAGTAATCAGCAGAGGAGGACAGCTCAATCTGGAGAAGAGCTGTGTTAGTAGGAAGCTTCAACAGTAGCATCCAAATAGGGCCCACAACAGAAAGGGCAGCTAATGCTTGAGATGCCCAATTCTCTGTGCTTAAAATACAAGACACATCCCATTTTCTGTACTTAGAGATAGCTAAAAAAACACATTTTCATTGCATACCACACAACCACTCCTCATCCATCAGAGATTTAATCTTGCATAAACTGATTTCCAACCTCCCCCCTCCATTTCCTGTCTGTATTGTTCCCAAATTGTTCCTGCAGTCTGAAACAACTTAAAGGAATGCATGATAAACTTGAAAAATGTGGTCATATTATTAACACTGTTCATGTCCCACAAGAACAGACGAATTACAGAGTAGCTGGTACACAGAGACAAAACAAAACCACACATGAATAAGACCTGCTCAAAATTAAATAATCTATTCAAATATATTTAAATTGTCAGAGTAGATGTTCTGCATTAATCAGCCACCTTCTGTGAGGCCAATCAGCACAGAGGTAGCAAGCCAATTATCTGGCCTCTCCTAAAAATTACACACATGCATAAACCAACCACAAACCCAAACATTAATCTATGCATAAGGGCAAAATTAGGGAAACTAACTATTCGCTTTAACCCCATAAGAGTCCTACATCACTTCTTGTTCTTTCCTTTTGACAGACACGGCTGCTAAATCCCCTAACAATTCCCTAACCATTAGCTTATCGCTGTTCACCAGGGAGGAAGGCTCCTATTAAACAGCAATCTGGGAAGGCAGAATAAGGTCGCGAACACTGTGATAAAGCATGGGAGAGCATGACAGTCAGAGTCTTTTAGAGATGGTGGGAAACACAGAGAGGAGGGGGGTAACAGGAAATTAAGT